ATCAGCGGTTCCGAGATCTTCTCGCTCGAGATGTCCAAAAGCGAGGCACTGATGCAGGCCTTCCGGCGCGCCATTTGTGTCCGAATCAAAGAGGAGACGGAGATCATAGAGGGAGAGGTGGTTGAGATCCAAGTGGACAGACCGACGGCCGGCGCGGCCCCGGGAACGGCCAATAAGATCGGGAAACTCGTGATTAAGACGACCGAAATGGAGACGATCTACGATTTGGGACAGAAAATGATCGAAAGCCTCACGAGAGAGAAGGTCTCGGCGGGTGATGTGATAACCATAGACAAGGCCACCGGAAAGATCACAAAACTGGGCCGCAGTTTCACGCGAGCGCGCGATTACGACGCGATGGGCCCGCAGACGAAGTTCGTTCAGTGCCCGGACGGCGAGCTCCAGAAGCGCAAAGAAGTGGCACATCTGGTCACACTCCACGAGATCGATGTGATCAACTCGAGAACTCAGGGCTTTTTGGCCCTCTTTTCCGGTGACACCGGAGAGATCAAGGCTGAGGTCAGGGAACAGATCAACGCCAAAGTGAGCGAATGGAAAGAGGAGGGAAAGGCGGACATCATTCCCGGAGTTCTCTTCATAGACGAGGTCCATATGCTGGACATCGAGTGCTTCTCGTTCATCAACAGAGCCATTGAGTCGGACTTCGCGCCCATACTTATAACGGCTACCAATCGCGGCATTACCCGTATTAGAGGCACGAACTACCAGTCCCCGCACGGCATACCCATAGATCTGTTGGACCGGTTGGTCATCATCTCGACGTCGCCCTACTCTGAGAAGGAGATCAAAGAGATTCTGAAGATTAGGTGTTCCGAAGAGGACGTGGATATGGCTGAAGACGCGCTCATTGTGTTGACGAGAATCGCGACCAAAAGTTCGCTTCGCTATGCGCTGCAGTTGATAACGACCTCCCATTTGGTGGCATTGAAACGGAAGGCCACGCAAGTGACCAAAGAGGACATCGCGAGAGTGTATTCCCTGTTCATAGACGAGGCGCGCAGTGAAGAGTTTCTGAAGCAATACGAACAGCAGTTCATGTTTAACGATCTCAACGGTATGGCCGACAAGACGTCGTCATCGCCAGAGACTATGGAGACTTCATAAGCGCCACCACTTCCCGCACCCATTGACTATATTTTACATACTTTTTGCAGATATTGTATTCATTACCCGTATATTCCGATCATTTGAAATAAAATCTTATTTTCAATTCAAACAGTGTTTGGTTTTACAGTAATTGTAAACACTTTGCATGGATTAGTTTTGGGACAGACTTCAGGATCACTTTCTGACTCAATACCACCGGTAGTATCACCGCAAAGTGACCATCGCTTGCAATAAACATAACAAATAAATGTATAATCAGTTAATGTATTCATAAGACTGTTTGAAATATACATAAAAAATTGACACAAATCACGATAAATGAAATAAAACACTAAAACTCCAAATGAATGGTAACTATCGATGGCTAGTATCGGTATTTAGTGGAGTAGTCTTTGGGCGACACGACGAGACCCCGTCCCTTGCGGGCGCCCCTGTAGATGGTCTCCAAGATGTCGATCATCTCCTGCTTGTCCTCGAGGGCCCAATTGATCTTATTGTTGTTTCCGGTGCCCAAGTCGATCATAATGTGTTTGTTCCGGAAGAAGAACATGACAGTGCAGGGGTCGTACAGTTCGTACATCTTGTTGAAGTCGGGCACTTCCGTGATGTCCACGAGGTATATGACACCGAAGTTCTTCACCTTCTCGGCGATGCCGTACAAGACTTCGTCCATCTTCATGCACGTGGGGTCCCAGTCGTGGCCGAACCGGATCACCACTACCCGGTCCTCCTCCGACAGGATCGCCTGATCCACTTGCCAGCCATTGTGCAGGTGTTGCAGCATATAAGACATGGTTGGCTGATGGACACGGAGGTCGACGACAATGAGACACAAGTAAGAGTGAAACACTTGATCTCAGTTTGTGCTCAAACGTCAAAACAAATCACTCGTGCGTCGAGTATGACGTTAGTTATGACTGGCTTACGGTACTGTGGTTTGTGAGTATAGTCTGTATTCACTTCTTGTGGATCTTTTCAATGAATTCGTAGCGAATATTATCTACAATTATTGTATACAAAAGTTTAAAAGTCTAAAATAGTATACGTTCACAAAATGTTGTTATTTTTGTCCCCTTTTTTAGTGTTGAGCACATGTTTACGCCACTGAAGCCAATGCTGAACAGAGCCCCACATAAGCCCTACTTTATGGCAATTATAGCGCATAAAGACTTTAAGCGCCAAAACTTTACCACAAAAGAGACTTTTA